AGTGGGCTCTACCAAGTGAGACATTAGGGGAGAGTGGAAGACACCAGAAGGGACAGGGGTGGCAATCCCATTGATCACATGACCCAGTGGACTCTACCAAGTGAGGCAAGGTGAGGGCGGGGGATTCCACCTAGGAGACACAACACGAGATCGGGGCAAGGTGGCTCTACCATGGGCGGCACACATTCCTCCCAGTGACGTGGGAAGGGAAAGAGATAAACAGTGGGATCTAGTGAGCGAGTGAGTGAGAAGAATCACATGCTTCAAGAAGAGTTGTAATTCCATGAAACTAGGGGAGTACATCTTCCAGCAGGTCAAGTTCGGGTGGGGAGGGGGGGAAGAATTCTACCAAGCTAGACCCCATGAAAGGGCCAGAGAGCACGTGGGGTATATCAAGAGAACCCATGCATTCATTCACCCAGCAAGTATTTATTACGATTTTTTTTTAAGTTTATTTATTAAAGTAATCTCTACGTCCATTGTGGGGCTCGGCCCAGTGATCAAGAGCCACACTCTCCCGCTGAGCCAGCCAGGCGCCCCTCATTACAATGTTCGAAGCTCTAAGAATGCAGCAGAGACACAAATTCATGCTCACAGACACCCGGGGACACAGTAAATACGTGGATGATGGCACATGCCGTGCGGTTGGATAGTCCGGGAAAAGGGGGGATAGGGTGTTTGGGAGCAGGGAATGAAATGTTAACTAGGATGCCCCAGGAAGGGCAGAGGCAGAGGCTGGAAGCGGTGCCGCTGGAGCCCTAGCAAGGGGGAGCGCATCAGGGCAGGACGGAAGGGTCACGGGGGCGGGCGTACTACGAAAGGCTTGTAGGCCACTCGAGAACTTTGAAGTACGGGAGGGTTCCGGGCAGAGGGGTGAGGTGCTGCTTGTGGTAACAGGATCCCTCTGGCTGCTGTTTGGAGTACAGACTGCAGGAGGCCAGGGCAGGGCAGGGAGGCTGCACAGGGGAAGGAGACCGGACACTGTCCAGTAATACCCGTGAGGCTAGAATAGTTGGACGCCTCCTAACCAACCGACTGCTAGCGGTCACCTGCTGACGTTCCCTAAGAGGGATTCTAGCCTTGCGTGGGCTTAGCTGGAAACTGGGTGGGGACCGATCAGGATGTCTGCTGCGGCCACGGGAAGGGGGCTTGATGGGTCCCTTGAGCTCTAACCCGTTGGGCGGCTGCCTTCGGCGGGAACATCGCCTGGCTTGTGCCTCACCGTGAGGCCTGCCAATAGTAGTGAGTGCTAGAGTATTCGTAATAGATTAGTGATAGCATTAGTAATAGGTCAGTAACTGTAATGCTGTTAGTAACGACAGTAGTGGCATTAGTCACCGTGAAAACGGTAGTAGCTGCTAATATTTATTGAGTAACCGGGCTGGTAATCCTGATTCAGCGCTCACGGCAGCCCTGTTAGGTGGGAATCCTTGTGGATCGCATCTTGCCTACGAGAACCGGAGGCCCGGGGAGGTCAAGAAAGCTTACAGCGCAGTGGCCGCG